GCCAGAATTTAATTTTGACCGGGAAACTTCATTTCGCAAAGTACAGATTTTCCATTTCGCAAAGTACAGATTTTCCATTTCGCAAACTGCGGATTTTCCATTTCGTTTCGTAAACTACAAATTTTTCATTTCGTTTCGTTTCGTTTCGCAAACTAAAGTAAGCTAGTTTACAGAGAGATCTCCGACATAGCTAGAGACACAAATATTCCTCAGCCGACTTATTTCACCTGAGGAAGTGGTCTGAGGTCTGGCAGTTAAACTTCAATGTGAACAAATGCGAAGTTATGCGAGTAACACATAACCGTGATAAATCTGTCTCACGTTACTCTCTCGTCACGCACGGAGAATGTCTAAGCTCAGTGAGTTCTGTAAAAGAGTTTGGCATTACAATCTCGCATGACCTCTTGTGGACTCCACAAGTTGTTGAGGTTGTCAATAAGGCCAATAAAGTTCTTGGTCTAATCAATCGAACAATCGGTTCTGTAAACAAGGAAATCTTTTCCACATTGTACAAGACTCTTGTGAGACCAATCCTGGAGTACGCTTCCCCAGTATGGTGCCCTTACCTAGTTAAAAAGATTATTCTCTTGAAGAAAGTTCAGAAAAGAGCCTCTCGATTGGCTTTAGGTCAGCGAAGGGGTGAGATGTCAGATGAAGATCGTTGTGAAATGTTACATTGGTCGAAGTTGACTGATAGAAGGCTATATCTTTCCTTGGTAGAATGCTATAAACTTGTATTCGGGTTGAATGGCCTTCATTTTTGTGATTTTTTTAGGTTTGCTTCAAAACGTACTAGGTCCAATCACAATTACAAACTGAAGGTTAAATTGGCAAAATGTAATTGTTATAAATACCCTTTTTTTGTTAAAATCATTTGTGAATGGAATGACCTGCCCGCCAATGTCGTTGAGATATAGGTAACTTAACACGTTTCAAAACAGCTCTTAAATTATACATGCGTATTTCTTAGATTTTTACCCATCTTAGATTTTATTGTAAGCATACATTTTTAAATTTTATTTCTTTGGAAGTTTATTTACATAGGGTTAACCTCTTAAACTTCCTTTTTAGGGTATTATTTGTGTTGTTTGTTCTTTGATACCTTAAATAAAGTTTTGAGGTATGTATGTATGTATGTATGTATGTATAAAGAACTGAACAGATGTCTTGAAGAACCTGCAGCTCGAACATATATCTTTTCATGACCATGTCGACTCCTGTTAGAATGCGCATTGCTAACTTTTATTTTTAAATGATTTGAAGGAGGCTATTATATTTATTTATCTGTCCACTGTAACTGTTAGGTAGTTTATTACCCATGGCCATTCTTGAAATTTCCACCACTGGTCATGGTAAAGAAGAAGAATAACCACAAGAAACCATGAAAGGTGAACAGAAAATTTAGTTTTTCTCATATGTACTCTTCTACTAGGAAATAAATCAACCAATAATGCTGTTAGATACTTTCAACTCTTGTAATTAGTGTTGGCTTTTAAAAAACGCATTTGTATTGACTGTGTAAGTTCAGACATTATGTTACATGTAAAAATGATTTGTCTACAAATATTGGTTAGCTTCATAATTTTACAATACATAATTTTACTATGAAGGTGCATCTCTTAATGGTGCATCAATATGGCAGCCAGAAAACAATGTAAACATTTGGAACATATACTTTGGCTATCTAGTTGACTGATTTTCTGAACTGAGCCAACAAAATTAACACACGCACTTTTCCTACCACTTAAACTCCTCAAAAGGCTAAGAATCATTAGATAAGTGTATATTTTTTGAAAGAAAAGATCAGAACTGTAATTGTCATACAACGCCACAACTGTGAACTTCAAACTGCATTGGTTTCCAAACCAAGCACCGTCCCTATTGAGCTGAAAATTTGAAAACATATATGAATTTAGACCCCCTAATATGCCTGACGGGGATAAAAATTTTTGTGGCTCTTCAGTTTGAAATTTTGGAATTTGATGGGGCCACATGAATACAATCTTTTTATACTGAGTAATCCCCTGACGTGCTAACAATAAACAAAAAACCAATTACAAATCCTCCTTTCTGTTTTGATGCACTGGTTATGAAAGAGTGGAAGAATTCATAGGTGTGTAATTTGGCCAAAAAAAGCAGTAGTGAGCAAAACTATGAAACTTCAGCGAAAGGAAAGTGAAATACAAGGTAGTGTACCTGTCCTAAATCTGTAAAAAATTCAGTGAAGGCTAATCTATCCCTGTTTATATTTGTTTCTAGGCATGTTGCCTCTTCCTCTATCTTCCAGCTCTGATTCTGGTGATGACCCAGGAGACGTATGCATGAAACTTCAAGGAACAGAAGGTGAGTGAAAGATACTGTTAAGCTAAACTGACAAAGCTTTAAGTACATTCAGCTCTCATTAAAAGGATTAATTCAAAAGAATTAAAACCCAATTTAGTTGTCTCTCATTCTGTCCTTTGGTGCCAGGGAATGCTAGTGACAGGGGATGTTGAAACAGTATAATAAAAGGATTGGGGTTTTTTTAACCTTGATCATTGTCACGTTCTACCGTTGATAGAAATGGATATTCGCGGAGGACACAACACACACGAAGAATCTAATCATCCGCCACGCTACTTTAACCTATTGACGTCCAGTGCGCCCGTAAGCGCCCATGTGGACCCACACCCTTTCTACGCCTTGTGACGTCATCACTTTTAACCCTGGAGCACGACTTTGAGCTCGTACTTGAAGAGGTTGAAAATATCTTACAAATGATACAAGAATGAGCGCAATTGAGTGAAGGAGATTGGAGAAATAGCCAAAAAACCATGTAACTTTGACCTGAAAATCTGCACGAAAATCTTGTTCCATTACCCACCTACCTTTCTGAGCATGTGGTTTGAAAATAATGAGTAGTTTCCTAAAAAATCTCTACACCAAAATGAAGCCTACTAAGTTTCCAGCAAGTGAGGAGAAACTTCAGGCAAGGAAAGGGGAAAAAAAGGGCTGGAGAAAGAGAGAAATTTTGCTTTCTGCGCGTGCCCGAGATTTTCAGGCGCCATTTTGCATTTGGATCGAAAGGCCGTCGAGTGTACAAGCTGTCAATGGGTTTGTGGAAAGTTTGAGCTTTTAAAACCCCAACAGTGACCTGAAATCTGCTCGACTAGCTTCAAAACACAGTTTTTCACCAAAGCTGCTGCTATTAATGGGTTAATAATAAATCCCAACTTACATTTCGTGCTTACTTTTGAAATGTATGGCACACCAAATGTACCTTACAAACACTACAACCCTTCCGTTTTTCGGTAAAACTACAAGATCCTAAGAAGACGCCAATACAATGTCAACACCTACAACTCTAGTACAATTAAAACTCATAAAACGGTCAATGATGACATTAAGTCACGAAAGAGTTTCTGATAATGGCACTCAAGTCAAAACAAAGCCCTTGATAAGGACACTCAAGTCATAACAGTCTTTAAATCTTTCCGGCAGTTTCCTGACCCTCATTGGTCTCGTCACAACCGAGCTGCTCAGTTTTTCTCGTTCTGCTTCCGATTCCGGAGAATCAGTAACATCAAGCAATGAAGTTCTTTCCCCAGGATTCCGTGATGTCTCCTCATACTTCTCCCTATGGGTTGTGTTTCGCATCAGTTGAACGCCGTCTGGTGATTCAACAACAACACTGTTTCCAGTTTTAGTTATAACATCATAAGGCTCAGGAGCAAATGGTGTTGATGATTTGTTTTTACACTCTTGTTTTGCTAACACTTGATCACCTGGAGCTAGGTAAGACTCCTGGGCATTCCTCTTCTTGTCTGCATACCATTTGGTTTTGGCTTTCATTTCGCCATCTCTGTCTCGCATCTCGCTCTCTGTGCTCTCCTCTTTCAGTTCGGGTAATTTAGTACGCATCTTTCTGCCAAACAAGAGTTCCGCTGGGCTCACGCCTGTGGTAGTGTGAGGGGTTGACCTATATGCTACCACATACTTGCGCACTTCTTTCTTCCATTCTTTCCCCTCAGCTTGAGCTATTTTCATCCTCTTGAGGAGGGACTTGTTTTGTCTTTCCACTTCGCCATTTGCTTGTGGCCATAATGACGTGGTTTTCCTATGTTGTATACCATTGTCCTCCAAATACCGCTCAAATATTTCTGATCTGAATTGTGGACCATTGTCGCTTCGAAGTGATTGAGGTAGTCCATGCGTGGTGAAGATTTTCTCCAAACACTCTATGACTTTCTCTGACGTTGTGGAGCGCATGACTTCCACTTCATAGTATCTGCTGAAGTAATCAATGATGACTGACAGATTCTCCTGAAGGTAATGGGCCTAACAGGTCGATGGCCAAATCTTGCCATGGGCCATTAGGCAACGGGGTTGATTTTATTGGCTCTGGGTTTGCTGGGCTGCTTACAAGCTGACAGCCATCACAGGTTTTGTAAAACTTCTCGGCTTCCCTGTCGATTCCAGGCCACCAGACTTTTGACCGCAACCTCTGCTTCATACTGACAATTCCTGGGTGTCCTTCATGGGCAAGGCTCAATACTCGAGGTCTCAGCTTGCTCGGTATGACAATCCTGGTACCACAAAGAATCAGCTTGCCAATGACAAACAGTTCGCTACATACTGGTATGTATTGCTTATGCTGATCACCTTTCCAGTTTTCATCTTTAATGTACTGACGCAGTTCCACAAACTCTCTGTCCTCTGATGAGACTTCTTCAATCTCACGTGTTATCATCGCTTGAGGAGTAGCAGTTACTGCGACGAACCTGACAAATCCATCCGACACCTTGTGCGCCGGTGATGGTTCTGCTTGTCCATTCGCATGTAGCCTGCGAACAGGCTCCCCGTTCAATCAGACGTGGGGACACAGGAAGGGGAGCCTGCACGCAAGTCTCAGAATATCGAATGTCTGCGTCCAAAATTTGGACGCAAAGCACTGATTAGTTAAAGTTAATTTTTCATGACGTAGTCTTAGTTTTCAGTTCCGGTAGAGACAAAAAATTAAAATGGCGGAAAGAAGGGATGCTGTTCTTCGCGAGGCTTGTGACCATTTATCAAATAGTTTGAAGTTTACGCTGCAGTTGAAGCCCGAACAGTGTAATGCTGTGGACTCTTTACATAAGAAAGATGATGTGCTCGCGGTTCTTCCGACAGGATACGGCAAAAGTCTTATTTTCCAACTCTTTGCTGTTGCTGTGTCGATTGAAGGGGAAGAGCGGCAAACTGTGTTGGTTATTTGTCCTTTGAAAAGCATCACTGAAGACCAAATTGCTGAGGCCGGAAGTATTGGTATCTCGGCGGCTTCCACAGAGGATATCTCGGAAGACGAGTTGCGTGCCGCAAAATTTCAGCTAATCTTCGGTTCGGCTGTGACAGTTATGGAGAAACGATTCCTCGACATTATGAAAGATAACTGCTCTTCTCTTGACAGAAAGTTGGCCGCAGTTGTGGTGGATGAGTCCCATACTGTTGAGATGTGGACTGGAAAAAGGTATTATGTTTCTAACAAATCCTATTGGGGATACTTCTAACTAAATTGTTTCTCACTTGTTCAATGATCGTTCACAGGTCTGAGGCAAAACTCGGTGCAAATGTTGCTTTCCGTGAG